TTTTCAAACACCTTCCTTTTCATTTTTACTGGTACATTGCTCTTACTACAAAGAATTTTCCCCCACATTGACAACTATGATACATATCTATACAATACAAAATAGATTGTAAATAGATTGCCCAAAAGTGAAGAGGGGGGCAACTACGGCAGTGTAAACAAGAAGGTTCTTGCTGCTGAGAGGCTGGCAGAACTGAATCTTTCTTATATGACTTTATTTTCCCAATAGCCGAGCTCCATGGGGAATCCATGCACAAGGGTGGGGACAGAGGATCTGCTGTTAAAAGGTTCCTTTAGTCCTTCCCTTCCCACCCTCCACCAGAGTACCAGTGAAGTCCCTTTCATACCTGTGTCCTTTGTAGTGCCACAAAGGTATCAATGGGGTAGGTCCTCTCTACCATTCCCCTAACTTGAGGTGATGTTGATTTCTCCTGTGGGGTCTCCCCAGCTCTCAACAGAGATACTTAGTCTGGGCACTGGCAGCTACATTTGCCCCAGAGTGAATTAGAAGAGCGGGGAAGTGAGAAGAGAAAATGACAACAACATGCCCATCAATGACAGAAACAAGCATGCTGTAGGTGAACAGCTTCCCAGTGACCTCCAGCAAACTACTGAAGCATGAATATTGCAGCTAATTGATGGGCACAGTTGATTGCCTGCTCTGCAGTTGTAGAGGCTTCAGATAAAAACCAGACAACATGGGGAAACATCAACGCAGTATGGGAGAAATATATTTGATAGGGGAAAGGGGAGTGTGACTGACTGAATGACAGAAATTCCCCCTTGGAGTTGTCTCTGGGTGTGCTGATTATGATAGTGCTGATCATGCTTATCATGCCTTCTTCCTGCTCTCTGAGGCTCCCAGCCACCCTGTCCTGATAGGCCAGATTCTCTAGTCTTTCCCAAACAAGTCAGAGTTAGAGTTACTGCACTCTAGCAGTAACTAGGATTTAAGAGGTTGCAAGTGAAAACAGACAGATCTAAGCTGAAGTGAACAAAACATGCTAGCTAATTCTAATCCAATAAGAAGCTTGATGCATGAAAATTCTTACCCTTAACAGCTGTTCTTATCTCAGGTAAAAAACTTCAACTCAGAGCTGATCTTTACTCTGGACTGGTCTACAGTTTCTTCAAAGTTCTTTGCATCCTCTTAAGGTGGCTAGGCAGTTCCAAAGGTCAGCTGAAGGCAAAGGAGTGATGGCTTCCCCTTGCTTAGACTTTCCCCCATAGCAGAAACCCTTTGTTCAGCATCTCCCATCCCCATAGAAAAATTCCAGGTTCAAGATGGATTCCAGTACAGGATGCATGGTCACATGTCTCTCTAGGACCAATCACAATTTGGGCTTACAGGACAAACACAGCCATTTACAAGTTGTTGGTTTGAATCCTGAATCCTTATGTTTCAGGAACATCAGTAATAGTCTTCATTAACACACTTAGAATTATAAAGAGAGACACACTCCAGGCTTCTAAACTTCACATATAAGAATGATAAATGCACAAATATATGATATGCAGATTTGGCAAATTATAACTGTAAAATGGATATGTTACATTATCTGTTTTGCATACAGCATCTTTGAGTTATGCACATACATAGCCATAAGCCAATTTTCATAAAGCATGGGGGGGGAGGGAGGGAGCATGAGAAGGAGGATAGAATCTTTGGTTTTAGATTTTCATTACCAAAACTTGAAGTTGCTAACAGTTAATTTAAAGGTCAGAGCTGAAAAAAAATTGTAGGTACTTAAACCTTTGCCTGCAGCAGTTAACTAAATGTTTGGTTAATGGAGGCTATTAAACAATATCAATAGACAGATCATGAACATCTATAGTAATTTATGAATAAGTGAGTAGTGTTTAAAGTAGATCTTCTTTCAACCTCACCTGTTTATTTACAGGCACTAGCACATTACTTTTGGCAATAAAGGCAAGCCAAGATCAAGTTTACTAAAGCCAATAAATTAATAAAACAATTTGTCATTTCCACATTTAACTGGCATTGTTTTTATTTCTTTTAGAAGCAAATAAAATAAAGATGCCAGTCTGGCTTTCCTTGCCTAGTTTCCATTAATTCCCTTCTTTGTAATGCTACAGCAGGTGTTGTTCAGTGGCGTATTGACATAAAAATTAATGTTTATTTTTAAATAAGTCATTATGCACCATAATCATAACTGTGGCACAAGAAGAGTATCTATCTTTCCAGCTTTCCAAATGCACATTTCTGCAACACAGAAAGTAAACAATCAACACCTTAATATAATCAATCCATTAGTTATACTGCAAGAGTCTGATATTCATGTATTTACTATGCTAAGCCATTCATATCCTTGGACTAATGTTAAAGAGTGGAAATAATACTTGATTCATCTCACAGGGATGTTATGAGAAAGAAATAATATATTTTAAATGCTTTAAAATGAAAACAATATTCTGGGCTATTATGTAACTAACTACTATATTAATAATAAACAGGATCTTGTTTCAGCAATTTTTAATTCTAACTGGATAGCAGATTGACAGTTGTGCTACCAAATCAGCCAGAGATTTGGTCAAAGAAATTACTGCCTCTAGTGCGATAGATTCTTAAAGCTCCACAGCTTAGCAGCCTCTTGGGAATCCTTGTATTCCGCTGCACACCCCTAATTCTTGTACCAGTGATGACTGACAATGCTTATACTGGTGGTGTAACATGTTGAAGGAAGTTTAGAAGCGATTCAGGTGCAGGAATTATGAAAGTGAAATAAAAATGAGCATGCTGGAACATCTGAAATAAGAAAACCGGGAGGCTTCCGTAAAGCAACGCATTTTATTTCCATGTGTCATTCTCCAGATTAATTGAAGTCTTCCATTAATGCAATTAACATGCCTCAGCATGAGGCAATATTTTTATTTTGCAACAGTCTTCTTCATTGGAAAACTCAGTTTTATTTACCAAATCCCCATTTTTAATTTAGGGAATTCTTAAATATTTAAGATTAGTTATATACAAGCTACAGTGTAACCATTTTTGCCATATATGCAAATGTGCAAAATTGTAACAGCAGCTTTTAACAGTTAAATACTGTTAGAATTTCCATATGTTTCTACTACCATATTTTAACAATAAGCAGCAAACCATTACATTTCCATCTGGCGTGAGGAAAAGGTGTTACTATATGATTGCAGGCATATAGCTTTCTACAGTTTTCAAATGTAACAAACAGGTAACAATGTTATATGCCAGGAAATCTAAAGCTATAATGCAGTCAGTATTTGACCTCCTTTATAGAGATAAAATACTGAACACAGGGAGAAACAGATTGGCAATAAATATGGTGGTCAGTGCTCTGCATGGATTACAAAGAAATTGACTATTCTAGTGATTTTAATATTAGACCAACTACCAGTAAGAAAAACCAAATTTATTATTCTAGAATGCATTTTTAAAATGATTTTATAAACAATAAATAGAGTATTTTTTTAAAAAATACATTAAGAAGATTGAACAGAAGGTAAACATGATATTTCAGATCACAGTAAATTACCCTCATTACTTCAGTGCAGTTGTACAGTAAGTACAGCATACAGCTCTTTGTGCCTCTTCCTCAACAGATCAGCAATGTTAGGCTCTGTTATATCACATCTTTTCTTTATCCGTGAACACCATCTTTTCCAAAAATATATTTAAAATGTTATATTTCCAGATTCTACTTTAAAAACATTATTGCATACAGATATGTATTTATACACACACACACACACACACGGACATAATCTAAAACAAATGAACTGCTCTAGAAACTGATTCTGAAAATATTTACTACTGATCTTAAGTATTTCCAATGACTTCGTGGAAGGATGCTCCATTGGTCTAATCCAAACCCCATTTCATTCCCAATGGCTGTGTCTACATTGGCATCCCCTTCCGGAAAAGGGATGCTAATGAGACACTTCGGAATTGCAAATCCGCGGGGGATTTAAATATCCTGCGCGGCATTTGCATTTACATGGCTGACGCTTTTTTCCGGCTCGGGGTTTTTGACAGAGAAAAGAGCCAGTGTAGATGCGATTTTCCGGAAAATAAGCCCTTTTCCGGAAGATCCCTCATTCCTACTTTCAAGGGCTTATTTTCCAGAAAATCGGGTCTACACTGGCGCTTTTCTCCGGCAAAAACCCCGAGCCGGAAAAAAGCGTCAGCCATGTAAATGCAAATGCCGCGCAGGATATTTAAATCCCCCGCGGATTTGCAATTCCGAAGTGTCTCATTAGCATCCCTTTTCCGGAAAGGGATGCCAATGTAGATACAGCCAATGACTTCAGTGAGAGGTTGGGTTACTCACAAAATAGTGAATATTTGTAGGATGAGATCCTTATTTTTCTGATCGGAGGTTCTCAACAATTCAGGCCTGATTCTGATCTCACACATTGTAGATCAGGAGCAATTCCATTGAAGACAATGGAATTACATGTAGTGTAAAACAACTTTAAGGCCTGCTGTACACACAGGTTGAGTACCAAATTAACTGTTTCAGCTAGGGTTGTGATTTTATACTAGTATAGTTAGTGTGGTACAGCTCTTAGCATGGATGCTGTTACAACAGCATAAAGGATAATAGCAAAAAGGTGCTTAAAATATACATCCTGGCTGCATCTAGATTGGCATGATTTTCTGGAAATGCTTTTAATGGAAAAGTTTTCCGTTAAAAGCAATTTCAGAACAGAGCATCTAGATTAGCAGGGACGCTTTTCCGCAAAAGCACTTTTTGCGGAAAAGTGTCTGTGCCAATCTAGATGCGCTTTTCCGCAAAAAAAGCCTTGATCACCATTTTCACAATCAGGGCATTTTTGCGGAAAAAAAATCTCAGCTGTCTACACTGGCCCTTTTGTGCAAAACCTTTGCGCAAAAGGGACTTTTGCCTGAACGGGAGCAGCATAGTATTTCCACAAGAAGCACTGATTTCTTACAGTAGGAAGTCAGTGCTTTTGTGGAAATTCAAGCGGCCAGTGTAGACAGCTGGCAAGTTTTTCCGGAAAAGCAGCTGCTTTTCCGGAAAAACTGGCCAGTCTAGACACAGCCATTATGTTCCCTCCCTACACAAGAAATCAAAATTCTGCTTTTCAGGGACTTGCTAACTCCTCCTTTTCTATTAAATAATCTTTTTTTATATAATTAGTCCCCTTAACCAGCCTCCATACTCCAAGATAGGCCTCCTTTAATGAGCTCTTAACTTCTTCCGTACTAGCTTCTTTGTGCACAATGGGCACCTTTGCAGTCTCCACAGAGCTGCCCTTCTGTTCCTCTAGACACTGACCATCCTCAGTTGCTGACTCTTTTACAGCTATCTTCTCAGTTTCTTTCTCTTTGAACATCTCCTCCATTACAAATGGTGGTTGACCTCCAGAATGTCCCTTCTCCTCTTCCTCTTCAGCTTCTTTCTCCAGGTCTTCATAGTTGCTTTGCCTTCTGGTCTCAATGTATTTGGCCACACAGTAAATGACTGAGCCCAAGGTGTTGACCACTACACCGGCTATAAACAGTTTTGTGGGTGCCACATCACTGAATGCCACCATCCCCACTGTGATGGTTGCTATGCTTTTCACCACCCCAACAAAGCTCGTGGTCACAGCTGAGTTAATGTAGGTGCAGTGAAGGGTGGTAAAGTTCATGGCACAGCCAAAGAAGATGCAAGCAATAAAGGTGCATGTCATGACAGGGTCCTTCCAGCCTGGAAAAGACCAAACATTGATGGAATCCATGGTGGCAAAGGAGCAGATAATGAGAAAAGGAGTAGCAGAGACAGCAATGGCATATTGGGCTGTCAGAGGTCCATAGTCACTATCCGCACTTGTCTTCTGAATGAGCACCAAATAGGCAGCATGTACCAACACAGCCAGAACTCCTGTCACATACCCTATGGGGTCACCAGCCAGATCACCAGCCCCTGCCAGAAAAGACAGAAAGAAAAATGCATTTATGAGAGAGAGAGAGAGAAAAGAAGGGCTATGTTCTTTATTTGTGACATCATTTAAGACCAGAGAGACAAATATCCATTTAAATAAATGTAACTGAGTCTCTGATTTCAGATTACTTTAAATTATATTACTTTCTGACAAATAGGTAGATAAAGAGTTGCAACTGTATTCAAAATCTGTTTCACTCCCTCCTACTTCAAAGACACCCCTTTAACATATTACTCTCCATATTCGACCCAGCCAGGGAGTTTTTTTCTCAGACCCCAAATTAGTTTCCATCCACTCTCTTAGAAGGAAGGAAGGAAAGAAGGAAGAAAGGAAACAGTTGATATATAATCATAAGAGGAAAAATATTTGTGTACTACTGTCTCTGCCTCAAACTATCCCCGGAGACGAGTGCCAGTAGCTTTCAGTGTTCCCTCTCCTGATCCTGCCTTCCCACCTCCCTCCAATAAAGCGCCCAAGGCTTGATTTCTGTGCAAATTGAACCGTCTGTTTTTCATTACGGTTCCAGGGATCGCTCACAAACCCGTGCGCCGCCATGTCCCTAGCAGAGCCAGATTCTGCCTCCTTCAGAATCCAGCTCACACGTGGATGTCACCCTTGCAGTCAATGACAGTAAAACGTGAGGATCCCAGGGCAGAGTTTGGCTTTCCCTCTTCATGCCCGGTTGGAGCTTCCAGCTGCCGCCTCCTTTCCAAATCCCCGGTTTCCCCGCTGGAGCCTCTGAGCTACCCCAGCCCACAGCCTCTCAGGAGGAGCCAGGCAGCTCCCCAGGGCGCAGAACTCGTGGGTGGGAGAAGGGGACAAGGGCGATCGCTCCTATTTCTAGCCCGCTAGTGTAATCCGCACACCTCGCTGATCCCTGTGCCCCAGGTAAAGGGAAGACCTCGAAGCCGCCCCGCACTAAGGGATCGCTGCTCCAAGCCACGGAGAATTGGCGCGCACGGAGCCATCCCACCCGCGGGAAGGGAACTCGGAAGCAGCAGGGGGAAAGGAGCTCGGGGTGCTGCGCGGGGGGGGCAGGGATGAGGGTGCGGAGTGGGGCCAGGGCGCAGGGAGGGGTGGGACTAGGGGGTGACAAGGCTGAGGGGGGCTAAGGCGGGAAGGGGATGAGAACAGTGTAGGGACGGGAGGGGGTACAGCTGTGTGGTGGGAGGAAAAGGAGGGAGGGGGGACCAGAGGGGTGGAGCAGGGACGGGACAGAAGCTGATGGCGGTGCTGGGGAGGGGGAGAAGGGCTGACCGAAGGGGCAGATAACGGGAATGGGGCGATGGGGGTGGCGGTGCAGGCGGCGGGACGCGGGGCTGAGGGCCCGGGGTAGCTGTGCGGGGGGAAGTGAGGGGGTGGCCGTGCAGGCGACGGGTGGGAAGGGACGGGGGTAGCAGTGGGTGGGGAGGGGCGGCGGGGAGC